ACAGGGTCTGCATAACATGCACTTAAATGGTGTGTTTTGTGAAACTCTAAATGATTCTTTCACCTTATGGTGGAAAATTATTTTTCAAATTGTGTGTATGCATGTGATGATGGTGGTGTGCTCGAGCGTGGGTGGTTGGAGGAAAGGATTGGTGGTGTGCATGCGAGTAGGAGTGAAAAATTGTTTTTTTTTTTTTAATTCTCTCCTCCTCACATACATTCATTCAGTGTAACGATCATGTACTCTAGCGGTACTCTAATCAATTATGAGACGATCGATAGATGACTTAAACGGGGATAAAATAGAGGCCATTTCTGTGGCAGTGGGATTCCAATATGAAAGACCATCAAGAGGAGGACAACAGAAGAACACACACACATAATGCTCAGGAAGCATATGGTCTCTTATTCAATCTGTTTTGTTAAAAGGGTGCAGCCGAAAACGGATCAGCCAGCTGAGACACAGAGAAAGGAAAGTTAGAGTAATGAGAGTAAGGCTATGAAGAAATGATTGTCCACTGAAAATAAAGACCATAACGTGTTAATCTTGGTGCTCTGAGCTCCAATTTTGTGTGAACATATGATTTAAAAAGAAAATATATATATAAAATTTAATAAAATTTATTTAGAATAATGTGGTAACACATCATTGCAAGCTGTTATGATATAACACAATAAATCATCACATCTGCACTAGGGCTGTGCAATTAATCGCATGCGATTGTCATGCGCATCTCGTCAGTAAAGCCGGTTCCGTGATTAGTAGTAAATCTCCATCACCTGCTTTCAGATGGAGCGGCATTTACTACACGGAGCCATAGATCACTGACAATTAGGCAATATCGTGTTCATAATCGCTAGAGATGCACCGATTGCAATTTTCCGATTCCGATTTTTTTGTTAGTGTGATCTGCCGATACCGATTTTTGCCGATTCCGATTTTTCTTTCTAAGAACTATAATTGAGTTATACATGTACATATACAAACAAAAATCTACTTTTCTTCAACGCAAAGTTATATTTTCATAAAAAAACACAAGTAAAAAGTCAGTAATAAAATAACACATAAAAAAATGGCAAACAACAGCACAAATAAATGCAATAGAATAAATAGAGCTATGAAACCAAGTTTTTCAGGTTAAGTAAGTTTTTATTCAGTTACTCCAATACTACAGAAATTAAAGTAATCAAATGTAAA